TGTGTGGGTGTGTGTGTGTGTGTGTGTGTGTGTGTGTGTGTGTGTGTGTGTGTAGTACCAACGTTTAGTACTCAAAGTAGCCCCAGGCCGCTCCTGAGTGAAGGAGTGGAACGTCTGTCAGTTTGAACTAAGGTAACAGAATGTGAGGCAACTGGCAGTTGGAACAGAGTTCTTTTCGGGTGAGGAGGGAGAGTAGAACTCCTTAGCATCAGAGCGTGTTTATTACTGTATAAGAAATACTAATGATCTGATGGTCATTTCGAAAAATCCTTTCTTAGCGAGCACCTAGAAGTCAAGAGGAACATATGTGCCAAATTTCAAGTTTGTAGGCTTTACGATCCTGGAGAAAATGTGGAGCTAAGCGGGCTGATTAAACTATGAATATCTGTTTCTAGTTGTCTGAACTGTGGCTCTTTCTTTTGACTTGTATCTCCCAACCAAAGTCATTAATCCTTATTTCTCCTAATTGCTGTTTAGGACAGTTTTATGCATTAGGAACTTCAAATGAATCATTACGGTTGAATTATTGAACTCTTTCCTAGCATCGAATTCTGCATGTACTTTTGTTAATGCAAAAGGCTAGAAACCAGGAGACAGTGAGTTCTAGTTCCTACCTTAGGAAAATTTGCTGGGTGACTTTGGGTCAGTCACCAGGATACTGTGTTCTAGTCCTGCTTTAGACAAAGGTTGCTGAGTGACTTTGGGCCAATCACCAGGAGACAGTGAGTTCTAGTTTCGCCCTAGGCATGAAAGTTGACTGAATAACTTTGGGCCAGTTCCTCTCTCAGGCCAACTCACAGGGTTATTGTTGTAGGGAAAATAGGAGGAAGGTATTTTGGATCTGTTCACCACCCTGAGCATGTGCAAAAATAATAAAGGTGTGGTATAAATCAACAAACATCAGTAAGATTAGATCTTACTGAAAGTTTTGGTTTCAGTAATTTCTGGCTAGTGGTTTTGTGGTTACAGGTACTTATAGGGTACAGAATTTATGACCTTAACAGAACTTTCCTATCGCAGTTGATAAGTCATGAGAATCATCAAGAGGGTCATCATAGAGGCCAACCTGATTTTACAACCTTTATTTGCAACCTTTAAATAAATCACCATAGTTGTTAAGAGAATTATTATTGAATCATTTCAATATAACGCAGATAGTTCCTTTTATGTCCGTCAGTACAGGTAGTCCTCAACTTATAATGACCACAATTGAGCCCAAAATTTATGTTGCTAAGTGAAGCATTTGTTAAGTGGGTAATGTCCCATTTTACTATCTTTCTTGCCACAGTGAACCACTGCAGTTGTTAAGTGGATCTGGCTTCCAGGAACACAACAGAGTCCAAATCTGAAGTCTTTACAACTGGAATTTATTAGTCGACAATTACAGGCCAAGCCAATTTATTTATTTAGGAAATGTATTTATTTAGGAAATTTATATTGCCGCCTATTCGCACATGGCGGACTCAAGGCGGCTTACAAGAATATAAAAACCTCATTAAAAAAAACAATAAAACTAATAAAAGAGAGGATGATATAATAAATTAATATAATACACCCCCCGCCCCAGTGACAACACATCACACAAGCCATTATAATCGTGATTTAAGTCCAATACGCATTACATCTTTTTGGATAGATGCACAGTGCACAATTTTCTTGCAGGTTCTAACTTAATGACTTTTGCAAACACGTCTGTGCCCATTGGCACAGTGGCTCACCGGTGTCTCAGTGGCTAAGACACTGAGCTTGTCGATCAGAAAGGTCGGCAGTTTGGCGGTTCGAATCCCTAGCACCACGTAACGGACAGAGCTCCCGTTACTTGTCCCAGCTTCTTCCAACCTAGCAGTTTGAAAGCATGTAAAAAATGCAAGTAGAAAAATAGGGGCCACCTTTGGTGGGAAGGTAGCTGTTCCGTACGCCTTCGGCTTTTAGTCGTGTTGGCCACATGACCACGGAGACGTCTTCGGATAGTGCTGGCTCTTCGGCTTTGAAACGGAGATGAGCACCGCCCCCTAGAGTCGGGAACGACTAGCACATATGTGCACTTTCACCTGTGCCCATTGAACATGAATCTTTGTGGGTTTCTCTAAGTGGGCAGACGCGACACAACAGGGCCAAGCTGAATTAGCGTAGTCTCCTATTTTGCTTCCTTTACACACCTTTTGTCCATTCGTAACATCTAGCATAACAACAACAGCTTTTAAATTATAGATGACTCATCACACTGGCAATCACCGTTGGCACCGTCCTCGGGGTATTCAAGGAGGAGTCCAAAAATGAACTGTATTTGCCCAGCCCTGGAAAAATGAGGAAACATCTACAAAGGAAGATGTAATTTTTTAAAAAAAATTGTGCAAAAAGGGACAGATTGACACTAAAAATAAAAGAAAAAGAAGATGCAGAGTATTTTCGAACACGGGACTTGTTCTATAAATGGTTGGATAGTAGAAGTAGAAATTAGGAGTGTGGAAAGTATTATTAGAAATAAATAAACGGATCCAGACAATACACTGTTCACTAAGCACTTATGTAAACAATGTGAAAATATCTCACAGTGATGGCTTAACCTTTTTTATCGTCGCGTGCTGAAAGCGCCCACACATGCCCACACCCATAATGCAATGCGCGTGCGACACCCCCTCACGTACTCCTCTCCCCCGTGCATGCATGTGTGACCCCCTCCTGTGCCCCTTTTTGGGTGTTGTAGGCGGCCCTGCAGCCTCCTGGGAGCAAAAACGGGCCGCCGGGCGAACGCCGCATCCCCCTATTCCCCGTTTTGGGCCTAGTAGGCCTCCCTGAAGCCTCCTGGGACCAAAAACAGTCGTCGCTGGCTCTTCGGCTTTGAAACGGAGATGAGCATCGCCCCCTAGAGTCGAGAATGACTAGCACATATGTGTGAGGGGAACCTTTAATTAGTTCAGAATGTGAAGACACCTTCCAACAGGTGCTTCCCTCAAGCCACTTGGTCAACGTTGCTTCTGTGTTAGCTTTATTCTTTCCATATTGAAGCCACATTCCGTGACAATTGGAGCCGAGAGGCTCCTCATGTGCCCATCTTTAGTATCGCCTGTCTTCTCCGCATTTTGGACACTTGTTCACAGGGCAAAGTCCCATTGGTTTTATACAATACAATACGATAGCACAGTTGGAAGGGACCTTGGAGGTCTTCTAGTCCAACCCCCTGCCTAGGCAGGAAACCCTATACCGTTTCAGACAAACGGCTATCCAACATCTTCTTAAAGACTTCCAGTGTTGGAGAATTCACCACTTCTGGAGGCAACTTCTCTTCCACTGATTAATTGTTCTAACTGTCAGGAAATTCCTCCTCAGTTCTACAATTGCTTC